TTAGAAGATTAATTATGATGTATCTTGTGGATTTATTTGGTCTTAACCTACTTGAAGTTTATTGGCTTCTTGAATCTGTAGGTTTCTGTCTTTCACCAAATTTGGGGAGTCTTCAGCCATTATTCCTTGAATACTTTTCAGTTCCACATTTTCTCTCCTTCTAGGATTCCAATGATCCAAACATTGGCTCTTTTGTTATTGTCCCACAGGTACCTGATCCTTTTCTTTCTTTTTTCTTCCAATCTGTTGTTCAGATTGAGTAAATTTTATTGATCTGTCCTTAAGTAACCTGATTTGATCTTCCGTCATTTCCACTCTACTACTGAGGTCATCCAAGTTTTAACTTTCACAATGATTTTTTATGTCTACAATTTCCATTTGGTTCTTTCTCATAACTTCTATTTCTTTGCTAAGATTTTCCCATTCAAGAGAATTTGCAATTGCTTGTTGAAGCATTTTTATCACAACTGTTTTAAAATCCTTGTGAGATAAATTCTAACATCTGAATCATATCAATATTGGTATCAATTGATTGTCTTTTCTTTACATTGTTGTCTTCCTGGTTTTGGGTATGATGAGTGGTTTTCTTTTTTTTTTTTCTTCAGTTTTAGCAATTTTCTTTTTTTTAATATTTTATTTATTTATTCATGAGGGGAAGAGAGAGAGAGAGAGAGAGAGAGAGAGAGAGAGAGAGAAATGCAGGCTCCATGCAGGGATCCCGACATGGGACTTGATCCTGGGTCTCCAGAATCAGGCCCTGGGCTGAAGGCGGCACTAAACCGCTGAGCCACCCAGGCTGCCCTGATGAGTGGTTTTCCATTGCATCCTGGACATTTGGGTATTATGTTAGGGATCTTTTAGTTCTATTTACATCTTCTATTTTAGCGGATTAGGAATCCTGTTTAGGTTTAGTGTATTATTCTTGGTTCTTTTATGGGTTTTCATTCCAGTGGAAATTCAGCTTTTTGTTTGTTTGGTTGGTTTTTATTTTGTTCGTTTTTTTTGTTTTGTTTTATGATTTTATTAAGACAAATACAACATGCATATAAGCTGTCTATTCATTTTCTTCACTGTGCAGCCTGGCATTGGGATTGGTGACTCTGATGGCAAGCTGGGCTACTCTTTTCACAATGGCTTTGAGGTTCTTGGCGAAGACATTGTGAGCACTGTCTGCACAGTGAGATTTGTTGCACATCAACAGCACTTCAGGCTCCTTGACATTGTGGACTAGGAACTTCAGAAGCCACTGGACAGCATACACTTTGTTTGCTTGCTCCCATAACCAATACTAGGCATCAGGATCTGGTCCTTGAATTTTCTGCGCACCCTCCTCTCAGTGCCTCTGGATTTCTGCTTAATTTTAACATGCTGATCTGATGGGTGCTGGGTGAACTTCTTGGTCCTCTCTTTAACCATCTTAGGCTTCACCAGACATCTGAGGGTGGCCATGATGTTGAGGAAGAGATGGCAGTGCTGTTTTCTGAGCCCTTGCAATACTGTTCTGGTCTTTGTTGTTCTTTGCGTGCTGCTAGGATTCCTGCTCAGTCCCTCCTGGCATCTTCTGTGGTGTCAGAAGGTGCCTCCCTGGATTGCATGGTGTTGCTGGGCCACCTTCTGCAGAGGTGCAGGCAGACATTGCTGCCACTGTGTGGAGTCGGGGAGACATGGGGCTTTGCTGCTGCTGGGAATGAATTGGGCCACTTGCTGGCATCCTGGTGTGAAACTAAGGTAGGGGCTCCATGAAGGTCTCTACTGGGCTCCCTGTCCTTTAGCTGAGAAAGCAAGCTTTCCTTTCTTTTTTTTCTTCCCCCCCCTCCTTCCTCCTCTATGCCTGTTGGTGGTTGCAGGCCCCTTCAGAGCTTAGTCCAGGGTATATAGGAGATGAAAAGAAAACCCAAAAAACTCACCACACTGTTGTTCCTCAAGCCCTGAGGTCCCTAGCAAGCCCACTATCATCTTTCTGGGGTTTTAAAAAATATTTTATTTACTTGAGGGAGAGAAAGCAAAAGTAGGAGGAGCACAGGGAGAGGGAGAAGCAGACCCCTACCGAGCTCACAGCCTGACTTGGGGCTCATTCCCATGACCATAACCTGAGCTGAAGGCAGACACTTATTCAACTGAGCCACCCAGGTGCACCACCCCCACCATCATCTTTCTAGCTTTCCGAGTCCTTTTATTGTTGTTTTTAAACTTCCAAAGTTTTTAGTTGTAGTTAGAGAAGAAAAGGAAAATGTGATTCTACACCATCTTGTTCTAAAACCACAAGCCTGCCTTTTTGTTTGTTTGTTTTTAAAAGATTTTATTTATTTGAGAGAGTAAGAGAAAGGGCACAAGCAGGGGGAGGGAGAAGCAGACTCCCCACTGAGCAGAGAGCCCGATACAGGGTTTGACCCCAGCACCCCAAGATCATGACCTGAGCTGAAGGCAGATGCTTAACTGACTGAGCCACCCAGGCACCCCACAAGCCACCTTTTAAAGGAAGCAATAATTTGAGACTATATTCAAAGGGCAGGAAAAAAAATAGAGTAAAGAACTGACCTGCATCAACCCTGCCCCACCCCTGTTAAATGCTACTTATTGGTTCTGGACTATATGACTCAAGATTGGGCTTTGTGCTTGTGCTGGTCTGTTGACATTAAATAAAGCAGCAAAGGCTAGCATGTTGGTATGCATAATTCCTGTGATTGGTGGCATGAATGATGTGACACTGGATAAATGGATATAAAATTTTGATAGGCTACATGTCTTTATGTATGTATTCAGACATATGATGTAAAAGCACAACTGGCTTATGTTTATCATAGCTGAGCACTGCCTGAAGGATGAACGGTTGGTTGTAACTTTCTTAAGCCCCTCTCTTATAGACAGTGGAATGGATGGCAGAGGTTACAAATTGCTAGATCAAAGATGGCAAACAGGATGAACTCACTTGCTAATTCTGCTTAATTTATACTGGATACTTTGTCCTGAAAAATCCAAAAGCCGTGCCTAGATTCAGCAGGAGTGCCATGCTCAGTTAGTACTGTCTGCCATGGATACAAGGATGGGCGGTGGCAGCACATATGCCCCACCCGTTTAACATTCCTGATCTAGAAAAGTCCTCTAGAGCTCACATTCTTTTCGTAGACACAGAGCTCACCTGAATTTGAAGGCCCATGGTGGGGGTAGGGGAGCAGGGGGAAGCTGTATCTTGAGGGGTACGTAATAAAGAGATTTCTCAGTGTGGGGGCCCAGAGTGATGGTCTTTTGCAAAGATTTTTCCCAGGGCCTCAGAACACATGTAGTTCTAGCTGGAATGGGACTTGGCGTGGCATTTACATACATCCTACCAATATCTATTTGTAAACAAGTGCATTTTTTTTTAAACAAGACTTTTCTGCTTTTTACAAACGGTAAAAACACCTTACAAATGACCTCTGTCTCTGGGGCCTTATCCATTCTACTCTCACAGACTTAGTAGCAGACAAACAGCAGATAACAGCTTACTTATCTCAGGGGTAGGGAAGTTACTTGGACAGGAAATGAGGCAGGCATCCCATTTCCATGCCCTGCTTCATAATATACATGAAGAGAATTATTACCATTTTATCTGACAATTGCATAAAAATATTACGAAGCCAAAAATGCCTGTTGAGTAAAACGATAAAAAGAAAAAAAAAGCCATCTGGTGTTCAACCACTCTGTTCATATACTGGAGGAAAAACCACCCAGATGGGACTTGCTAAGAGTTGCTTAGTGTCTCTCAAGAGTCATTTTGACTTATCTGTTTTCTGCTCTAGAGCTGATTTTTTTTTTTAAGATTTTTTTATTTATTTATCCATGAGAGACACACACAGAGAGGTAGAAACACAGGCAGAGGGAGAAGCAGGCTCCATGCAGGGAGCCCCACGCGGGACTCGATCCTGGGACTCCAGCATCACACCCTGGGCTGAAAGCGGCACTAAACCGCTGGGCCACCAGGGCTGCTCTAGAGCTGACTTTAGAGCCTGGCTCTCCCATATAATACACACAATTTTGTACGTGTCATTCACACTTGTAGGGGGCAGTTGCCCTCCCTGCCCTGCCGCTACGTGGAGAACTCAAGACTCATTTCACTTATTAAGAATTTGTGCTTGATCAGTGCAAACAAATCCTCATCCTTTTGTTAGAAAGATCTAAAGAATGTGATCCTGGCAGGTGGACCTACCAGGTTAGTGAGTTAGGAAGTTGCAAAGGTATCTATGTGAGCAGGCAAAATGGAAACTTCTAAATGGGCAGCAAATCTTCTCCCTGGTGCTTCACCCTTAACAGGGCTCCCTTTTCTTAACATGAGGGAAAGGGCTTGGAATGTGTAAGCAGCCTCTTTGCATTCTTGAGCCGTATTGCATTTTATTGTAAACTTTAGCCGTGGTGAGAACCAGGGCATTTGTCAGGGGGACAAAAGGGACAAGTGATGGAATACAACAAAGCAAAGCCAGGGCTCAAGGATATGAGTCTGAGGGTATTTAGAAAGGGGACAAGCACCTTTATACTCCTCCAGAGTCCTTGAAAACACCACTGTATCATACGATAGCACAATAACTCATGATGATTGTGAAGTGTGCCTCGGTCTTCAGAAAAAGTTTGCATGTGCTTGCTAATTAAGAAGGCAGAGAACCAAGTTTTCTACTGCCAAGCAAACGCTATTGAAAAGGTTAAAATCAACATTTTAGTGCTTGATGACAGGGGAGCTTCAGTTGCATGGAAAATCTCAGTGGGTAAGACAACTCTATTTCCAACAAAACTAAATAAATGAAGCATCACTCTGTTTATAATCTCTGCAAAGCGGACCTGTATAAATTTACCAGCCCTACCCTCAAAAGACGGTGGCTACTTAACTTCGGTGCAAAGGATCCAGGTTGACTTGCCTGTGATACTTTGGGGGATGCAATGTCTTATTTTGTGATATGCCCCCTTTCCATTCATGTGTTCTGCTCCAAAGGAGTGCAGTGAAAAACAACAGACAAAAACCAATCACAAACGAGACTTCACACATATATTCTTCTTGACAGTGGGGTTTATGGAAAATTCTGCTCCTCTCCATATGAGATTCCTTGATGGTAGCATGGGGGAGGCTGGACTAGGTGATCTTCCAGGTCCCCTCCAACCCAGATGTTCTAGGATGCAGTTACCTGACCCAACTAACAGGTACCCAGTGAGTGTCCTTGCTCAGCTTCTCCAATAGCGCTCTGAGCTGGCTGTGTGCACTCTGGAGGTCCTGCTTCACCAGCACAGAGTCCACCAGGTGCCCGTAGTACTGGTCTATGAAGGCAGCGGAGGCAGCCATCTCTTGCTGCTCCTCATCCTGTAAGGCAAGGGGCAGTTACAGAGCAACTGGGTGGTTCTCCCTCAAAATAATAAACCTACAGTCTTTTACTTGGGCAGCATTCCAATGTCTAATTTTTAAGTGACGAGTGGGTGAGTAGGGCCCACGAATAACCCATGGTGCACGCAAGAACAGAGTGTGGTGATAACACCCTATCATGCGTCCAAAAATGTTGCCAGGCAGTAGACAGAATCATTTGTTCATCCTCTCAAAATATCCACTACGGACCTGTAAACCTCAGCCATGACATGCACCTTGGGCAGATGCCGATTCTGTATCTGTGCGTACGTATATGTCAATATCACACTTCCACGTGGAAGATACTTCCAAAGAAGTGGTACTATAGTGTCACGTGTCAATTTGGTTAAGTAATTACAGCAGAAAACTACAAATACTATATTAACTATAAGCAAAGCAAGCATTTCTGGAATCAATTACAGGGAAAAGCAGGAGTGTAAGAAATGCCCTTGAAGACTCCTAAATTCATCACGTAGAACTTGCCATCTCCTCAGAGTTGCTCTCACCAGAGCCCAACTCTAGTACCATCATTAAAGTGGAGTTATTTGTTACAAAAGTGCTGGGACAATCCTGACCAAATAACCCCATTTCCCTGGGGCCCCCGACTTCCTTCCTCAGACTGCTTTCCTAACCCCGGACACCCCAGGACAGGTAGCCCATGATGCTTCCTTTTTTGCTTCTTCACTCAAAAACACCTTGAAAAAGCAGAACCTCAATCCAGTAGTTGACTGATGGTTAACTTGATTTGAGGGAAAAAGGCAAGTGGCAGGTGAAGTATCATCACAAAATGAAATTCATCTCTGGCACTTACCCACCTCTTTCTACCTCTTTCCTGGTACCTGCTGGCTTCCCTCTTGTGCTTACAGAGACTCAGTGCTTTTATAGCACTCATGAGCTGTCCTCCCCCAAAGACCCACATTCCAAAATATTTCTTCCTCTCTTCTCTGTTGCCCATCAGCCTCAGATCCCTATTCTAGTGAGAGCACCTGCAGGGTCACAAGACAGATTCTAAAGGCTTAGGAAAGAGTTCAGCAAAGATGGGAGAGACTGGAGAGAAGGCTGAAGTCATTTCTTCTCCTTCCTTCTTTCTCCCAGGAGAAAAAGTAGGTGGTGTCAGGAGAAGCTTTCTAAATCCATACTCTTTCTCACAGGGCTCCCTCCTCTCATACTCAAAAGCACTCTGCAGTGTCCTGGGGCTGTCCCTGGATCTTCAATCCCACCTCCATCACTCCCCACCCCCACCTTACACAAACACCTCCCACAGACCTGCCCCCTGCCTCTGGAGGGGCACAACAGTGTTCATCTTGGAAGCATTTAGCTATTTAAGGGAGTATAGAAGAAACATTTTTGCCACTAAGCACCTCAATCTTTCTAATATTTGCATCTTAAAGGAACTCAAGTACATCTCTCATGGAGTAAAATGTATGACATTAGTTTTGCAGCCATAAATCCCCTGAACCAGGGTTGCCTGGGTAGCTCAGTCGGTTAAGCATCCAACTCTTGATCTCAGCTCAGGTCGTGATCTCAGCTCAGGTCATAATCTCGGGGTCGTGAGTTCAAGCCCTCTGTTGGAGCCTACTTTAAAAAAACGGTGGGGGTGGCAGGATCCCCAGAACTCCTCTCCTGACCTGTAAAGATGGAACTCAACCACCTGTGGCTCCAGCCAGAGAGTCACAGTCCTGAACAACACATAGGAAAGACTCCCACCATGCTGTCCTTTTACCCATGTCGGATTTACTTGCTGGATCCAAAGTTGGTGTTTCAGTTATAAACTTACTTGGGTTGGGCCTGAGAATTCAAAAGATTAGTGTGATCAAGTCTTTGACAGATGTCCCTTATATCTGGGAGGATCCTTATGTGAAGGAGTGAAGGGCGGGGATTCTAAGCAAAGCCATCCCTGTCTGAATTGGGAGGAAATTTTAGCTGCCCTGCCTTGTGCTGCCTTTTTTTTTAAAGATTATTTATTTATTCATGAGAGACACATAGAGAGAGGCAGAGACGTAGACAGAGGGGGAAGGAGGCTCCCCACAGGGAGCTTGATACAGGACTCGATTCCAGGACCCTGGGAATGTCTGAGCCAAAGGCAGACACTCAACCACTGAGCCACTCAGGCATCCTAGTGCTTTTTGGTGACGAGACCATCTAAGTCTGGCCAATAGGCAAATGGGAAGACAGCCTGTGTAGAAGGTACTAGTGCCTTTATGCTGCTGTTATAGGCCCCATTAGGCCTTCAGAAATGACCAACTTTAAACTTACAAGTGGTGTTGCTGTGTCCTCACAAGTTGGGGACACGGGTGGCGTCTTCCTCTTTTCCTGAATTGCGGGCTTTACAAATATAACATAGGGCTTGAACTCTGCGGTCCTCAGTTGCTGCAGTGCCTGAGAAAGAAAGTTTACAAACATTACATATTCTGTTTTATTTAGTCATTTTTAAAGATTTTATTTATTTATTCATGAGTGACGCAGAGAGAGAGAAAGAGGCAGAGACACAGGCAGAGGGAGAAGCAGGCTCCATGCAGGGAGCCCAACGTGGGACTCAATCCCAGGTCTCTAAGATCACACCCTGGGCCAAAGGCGGCGCTAAACCACTGAGCCACCCAGGCTGCCCACATATTCTGTTTTATCATGAAACACTTTCTGAATGTTCAGTAATGGGGTGCTTCATCACATAACCTTCAGTGGCAAAGGTCCCGATCACATGGTCTGATGACAATGGACTTCAACTGGGCAGACCAGCTGCTCATTTTCCTTTCCTCCACTTTGACACTGGACTTGGCTGGGCCCCAAAGGCCCACTTGCTGAGAATGAATGTTCCAAAGCCCTGGCTCCAAGTGTTGCCATCTATCTCAGCTCTGACCCCAAAGCTCTAATTAACCTTCTTACGCCCTTCTCCACCTGCCCAGCCCTGATAGAAGAGCCAGCAAAATTCAATGTGTATCTCTTAGTCGAACGTCCTCACTTTGGACTACACTAATTCAAAATATGTGTTGTTATACAGGCCTCCTTATGATATTCAGAGAAGAAAAGGTTTGCTAAGCAAATGAAGAGACTAAGAAATCATTTGAAACACACTGTAAAGACTTTAGAAGGTTTTCAGTATGCAAATCATCCTGTTCATTAGTGCCTATGATCTAGAATGTAAGGGCCTCAATTTGGAAACACCAGCATTAAACTGCTATATGTACAATGTGCACCACCGCCCCTCCCCTGCGAATCAATAAAATCACTTTTCAAATGAAATTTTGCAATTTAGACTTTTAATTTTGATTACCAACCCCCAGTTAAGTCCAAACGAGAGAGGGTTTTCCTTTGTAGACATAATATGCTTTTTGGAATCTGTTTCAAGCCAACTTCTGTTAAATGAAGCCTACAGCTTATAGCATCAAATCAGAGCTCTGTTTCATAGAGGAAAAAAAAAACCCAGACTGAGTTCAAAGCTTAGAAGTTTTTGTCAAAGACAAGGTTAAAAAGATGGTTGAGCCCCTGTCAAACACACAGCAGGCAGGGTGTGCAGGACTGGAAATGTATTTGAAGCACTTTCACAGGGTCATGTCTCCTTCCCTTTTCTCTTTCAAACTGCTCTCCTGGTCGCCTCCCTGGCTGATTTCCCTGAGCCACTGATGTTACTTGTCCTGGTGGTGTGGGGGTGGTATCCTGATACAGAGAGCTGAGTCCCAGCATCCTCTTGTGCAGTGACATCTAATTCCCTGTCACATCACCACTGACCAGTTGGTGCTACCACTACTGTATGGTCTACTCCATGCAGAAGCTACTATCCCAGGTCTGCAGGCCACCAGAAAGTCTATGAGCACCCTACAGTTAAGGCAGTTTTGTGTATAGACGTGCAGATTTCAAAGCTTTCGTTAGATTCTCAAAGGGAGGCCTAAGGAAATTTTAACATCCAGTACTCTGGACTAAAAAAATCCTTACTGAGGTCAAATGTTCTGTAAAATATACAGTCCCCTCATTTATTATTATTATTTTATTTTGAGAAAGAGCAAGTGGGGAAAGGCGCAGAGGGAGCGAATCTCAAGCGGACTCCCCACTGAGTGCAAACCTGACGTGGATCTCGATCTCAGGACCCTGAGGTCATGCCCTGAGCCAACATCAAGAGTGGGACGTTTAACTGACTGAGCCACCCGGGTGCCCCTCCCCTCATTTATATATCGCGCCAACAGAAAATGCCCAACTGGCTCAGAAACTCACGTCCGGTTCCACGTCCACCAAACACACTTTGTTTTTGGCCATCACAGACTGAATGGCATCCAGGCTGGTTCCATAGAGATTTTCCTTATATTCACCATGCTCCAGGAACCTAAAACATCACCGAGAGGGCACAGGCCTTTAGTTCCTGAGTCTGCCTAAGTCAGCCTGGAAAGATGGATGGGCTTTCCACCACGACCCCACGCCCTCATCCCCCACCCTTTCCGAAAGCCCTCCCAGGAGGTCAGGTGGAACCGGGGACCGGGGCACCCACCCGCAGTGTACCGCGCGCCCGCTGGCTGTCAAGCCCACGTACTTGTTGTGATGTAAGTCGGCCTCGAATGCTTGCTTAGAGACGAAGTGATATTCGACCCCTTCCTTCTCATGGCTCTTTCTGGGCCTGGTGGTATCTGTGAAAGAAAGGGAAAGCAGGCAAGGAGAGGTCACCTCCCAGGTCGTGGGAACAGCAGCAAGCCTGCACCCCCATTCTTCTCCGGAGTTCAGCGCGGCCCGGTGGATGAACCCATCGCTTCCATGCATCCGTGTCCCTGTGAGGCAGGCACACTCCGTGATGTAGGAGAAGAAGGCCTCCCACTTTGCAGGAGGGGAAACTGAGGTACAGCGAGGTCAAACGCCATGGATGGGGTCCCAGAGCCGGCGGTGGCAGAGCCAGGGCGTGGGCCCATGCCAAGCGTTTGCCCTTAGCCACCCCGCTATGCTGCTTTGTTGGGGTCATATGGCTTTTACAGAGCTGCTGAAGGGATCCCCAGTCCTAACCTATGATTTCTTCGTGGTTTTCATTTCTGAGAGCCACGGGGGCCCCAAGTACAGATAGTCTTGCTGTATGTTTTTAATTCTTTACTCAGTTACTTCTCATTTTGAGAGAAAAGACATGAAGACAGACAGTCCTGTAATGGACAAGATGTGTTCCAGGAAAGCTGGCTCTCATACAAATAATTGTAAGTTTTCTCCACTGATTTTTTTAAAGATTTTATTTATTTATGAGAGACACAGAGAGAGAGAGGCAGAGAGAGACAGAGACGTAGGCAGAGGGAGAAGCAGGCTCCCCACAGGGAGCCCGATGCAGGACTCGATCCCAGGACCCCAGGGATCCTGACTTGAACCAAAGCGAGATGTTCAACCACTGAGCCACCCAGGTGCCCTCACCACTGATTTCTGCAATAGAACGGAGATGCATACTTCTGGGGGAAACCAGGTCCTTAACAGAACAAGAGCACGCATGAAGTAACACGCTGCTTTTTTCCAGAGCATTCCAAAAGAACAGATGGGGTCTTGAAGGACAGTATTTTCATGCCCTTGGGAACCACCTAGAGATGCTCTGTGCTCTATTTCTGACCCATCTCTGGTAGGGTCACTCTTCTGACCATGTCATTCGCTTGCTTAAAAACTTTTTATTCACCACTGATAACATTCTAAAGACCATAGATGAGTATCTCTTCCCATATCATCCACATTAATCTCCCTAGTCCCTAATGCTGGTCACACCTCCATCCCTTTGCACAAATTGTTCCCTCTTTAGAGAGAACTATTCCTTTCTTATCTGCCTGGAAAACTCCTATTTATGCTTTAAAACCCAGGATAAAAGTCACTGCCTCTTTAAAGTGGGAAGCCTCAAGAAGCTTTCCTTGACTCTCTCAGTTCCTAAAAGCAAGGGGGAGAAGTCACCTATCTATGTGGTGCCTGAGGCAGGAAGCCCTGACCATCCATGAACCCCTGCCCCAGGGAATGGGTCTGGGGGCTTCTGAAGGACCCATGTGTGAGCAACTTCTACATGTCCTACTTCAGCCCATCCTGGAACGCAGTGGCCCTCTGAAGCCTACCTACTGGGTCCATCAGAGATATGCTGCTAGAATGGCTTCCTGAACCCTGCCACCTCCCTCCAATCCCTGCCACTTTAGGTAGGGCTCTGAAAGACAATTCTGACAACCCACAGACTGGGTTGTGGACTCCAAGGTCCAGGGGAGAGGGGTAAAAGAAAGGATTGGTATCTGCCCTTAAAAATCTCTGGAAAGGTCTTATTACTGCCACCACAGCATTCCCTGCTAGTGGCCACCAGGTGGCCACACTGCATCCCTCTGAGGCTGGAAGAAGAGAGGATCCCAGAAAGGGAAGGGACAGCCAAGGACAGAGGCACTAGGCACTAGGGTGAGAGGCCCTTCCTGTGGCCTCATTAAGCACGGGACTGGGCAGGCTGCCTGGGTTTGAATCTTGGCTCCACTTACCAACTGTGTGACACTGGGCATGTTATCTAACCTCTCTGAGCTCCAGGGTCTTCCTCTGCAGTACAGGGTGGTGCTAATCTTCCTCCTCAAGGGTATGGGGAGGGCTGCCCAAGTTACTAGACTCTTCTTCATTCCCCTCCTCCTCATCACACCCAGAACGAAGGCCTGCTGCCTACTCGGTCTCAACATCCATAGCTGCTCCTAGACTCGGGGACTGGCAGAGGTGTGAGTACCCTGGAGGGTGCCCAGCCACTCTGATGGGCTGGAATCCAGCTACAAGGATGTGTCCGAGCAGTATCACTCACCGGACTCTCGGCTTCTCTCACCTGCTCTCTCTTACCCAAGCAGAAGGCAGGGACCATCTGGGGCCAATGGCCCTTTGGTGGTGTGCTAAGGTTGCTGCTTTGCCTGTAATGTGCTCGAGACTCATCTCCCACCCCAGGAAAGAACTGGGCAACCAGTCCTCCAGCTTTTGCCTCAAAGGGTCCTAGTAGACCACTGACACTGGGTTTCTTATCATGCTTAGGTCCCATGATCTGCCTATACCAGGCGGTGCCCATCGGTCCCTCAGACGCAAAGCAAGTATTAGGATGGATGTGCAGAGTCAAGTCCCTGTGAACTATTCACGCGCATGTGCAAACACAAAAACCCCCATGCAGGCCGCCTTACGTGGAACAGCAACACCAAAGTGCTGTGGGTTCTCTGCCACCATCTTCTGCTTCAGCTCATGCAGTCGGGCTCCCAGAGATCCTGGGAAACAAAAGGAAGGCTGACCAGGATCCCTGCTGAGCTCCCTCCCCACCAGTGCAGAAGGAAACCAGCCCACTCCCTGGAAATGCACGACATTACCTACCAATCAGAACCACCAGGCGTGGCCGTTCACCAGGCTGGTGCTGGTACCTGGTTACCTCCTCATAAGTCAGCAGCTCTGGAGACTCGGCCACTACAGACGACTTTCCTTCCTGGGGGCTTCCCAGTCTTTCCCTTCGGCCCAGTCGGAAGCTTCTCCGAAGGCCAGCTTTGTGGGAAGGGAAGGGAGAACTGTGGCATTTGTCCCAGGATCTCCCAGGAAAGACTTTCTCCACCTGGCTGACCTGGAAGGAGGGTGCCGAGTCCCACTGGCCTCTCCCAACCACCTCCTCCTATAGGAAGGGGTTAATCAGGGTGCACAGTACAATGATGAAAAGGTGACCATCCAGCACCCAAAATCAGGGTTCAAGGTAACTGCTATATTTAAAGATATTTTCTTATTTTTAGAGAGAGAAAAAGAGCATGGGGAGGAGCAGAGGGAGAAAGAGTCTTAAGCTGACTCCCTGCTGAGCACAGAGCCAACACAGGTTCATCCCTTGACCCTGAGGTCACGACCTGAGCCTAACCCAAAAGTCAGATGCTCAACTGACTGCACCACCAAGGTGCCACCTCCTGCAGTCACTGTTTTATTTAGGATGTGGCTGACCTTGGAGTGAATCATCACCTCTCTGAGCCTCAATTTCCTTATCTGTGAAATGGGAATACAAATCTACAAATGTAATGTATGGTCTTGGGCTGGATCTTAGATCAGGGAAAATGCTCCAAGGACACTACTGGGGCAACTGGCCAAATTTTAATATGAATAGTGTCATAGATGATAAAATGGTATGCATATTAAATTCCCAGAATTTTTTTTTTATGATAGTCACAGAGAGAGAGAGAGAGAGAGGCAGAGACATAGGCAGAGGGAGAAGCAGGCTCCATGCACCGGGAGCCCGACGTGGGATTCGATCCCAGGTCTCCAGGATCGTGCCCTGGGCCAAAGGCAGGCACTAAACCGCTGCGCCACCCAGGGATCCCCAATTCCCAGAATTTTAATAACGTTCTCCCAGAGAACGTCTCTGTCCTTAGGAATTCATGCTGAGGCATTTAGGGGTGAAGGGACACGATGTCTACTACTGAATCACACAACTCTGGAAGAAATTGTGTGTAAGTAAAAAAGGGGATGACAAAGCAGATACAGCAAAGTGTTAGCTGGTGCATCAGAGCCCTTTGTACAATTCAGGCACCTTTTTAGTAAGTTTGAAATTACTTCGAAATGAAAGGTAAAAAAAAAAATCTCAGCCAGTCTCTAAGGCCTCTGAGAAGACTAAGCAAAATAAAAGCAGCACAAGACCTGTAGAGACTGATAAAAGGCTCCATTGCTGGGTGGCAGCCACACACGGACTAGATTATGGCCGAGACCATGATGATAATGGATTGGTGTTAATGTATCCCTTCCCTGCCAGAGCTCTGCTCCCAGGGGCTGGGTGAAAGTTGGGGGGACCCTAAAGTGTGGGTAGGTCAGCCCCCTCCTCTGGCTGATCAAGACTGAAGGGGAATGTGGGTCCCCCGGGCTCAGCTGCTCTTGAAGGGTTGCTGGGGCTCAGATCACTCTGCCTTTGCCTTCTCCTGGTCCAGAAGCCCACCTCGGGGTGGGGAGTACTGGGGACGAGCCCCTACTACTTACCTACATAGTGTCCTTTGAGGTACCCCTCACAGTCACAGGCCTCTGGGAACCAAACAGAGAGAGGGAGCCAGTGAGCCGTGCTGAACACATACTGTGACCCAAAAGCACCTGGCCCCCGGGATGGCCAGGAGGAGCCCACTGGGACGATGTCTCTCAGGGACTCGGGAGAGAGGCCGCGTCCTGGCTCCCTAAGAAAACAAGTCCTACTGTTTCACTCAGTTCTCTCTGCTGAGGCCCCAAAGAGACTTTGCAGGCCCTGCCAAGGGTCCTGGGCCCGCAGGCCCTTCTAGGTCAGGATTGGAGTGCAGAAGGAGAGTCATGCACTCTGTCCCACCTGCCTGTCTCCTGCCTCCCACCCAGCCTGTAGCACAGTTGGCCCAGCCAGAGTCCGGGAAAGGTGGGGCCCCATGTACCAGGTGGGCAGTGAGGAGCCCTGTCCCCTGCAGCTCTTCACAACTCAGGACACAGGGGGAGGAAAACAAGCTCTAGCTCTAGACATTCTACGTTCTTGTCCGGATGCACAGGGGATAGATACCAGCCTACCTTTGTCACAAGGCTGATCATCTGCGGTTTGCACAAAAGACAGATGGAAGAGCATTAGTGGAGGGGAACCAGGAGTCCCTGTGGCTGAGAGGCAGTCATAGCCTTGTGTGCGTGAGGAGCCCTCCATCTGTCCCCTCTTTCTTTTCTCCAACAAACCTGTGATCTGAGCTGCGGTGCATTATTAAACCGAGACCAGCTCTAATTAGTGTTCCTGTGTGTGTGTCTCATTAGTGGCCCGAAGCAAACTAGCTCATCGCTGGCAGGAGCAGCCTCAAGGCCTACTTTGTGAGCAACCCTTTGGACTTGAGAGCAAGCCGGGAAGAGCAGTCCTGGGCAGTGGCCCCGATCCAGGGGAGCAGCTCACTCTAGGATGCCCACAGTGGGGCCAAGACCTGTTCTTTCTTTTCCAGGGTTTGAGACGGGCCTGGGTAAATGCAGGTGCCAGAGGATGGAGCGGTGCAGAGCAGGGCTGCCAGTCAGCTGTAGTCTGGCCACCTGACACTCATTTGGGACCCTCACTTGGTTCTGAGCCCTCCTGTGCCAGAGAGGCCACATCACAGGGAGCTTCTTCCCTACACAGGGCTCTACCCTCGAGGCTCTGGGCACTGGCCCTCTGAAAACTTGACCCCAGCCCCACTCCCCCAACCTCATGAGCCTTCATTTTCCCATGTTGGAAAAGAGGATGTCCTGACTCTCCTACTTTGCATTGTGATGATTGAAAGGCAAAGTGGATGATAGATAGATAGAGATAGATAGATAGATAGATAAATGGCAAAGTGGTAGGTGAGTGTGTCTTCTGAAGGCAGGCGCTACACAGGATAGGGTTGCCAGACAAAATACAGGACACTAAGTTAAATCTGAATTTCAGATACACAACAAATACTTTTTCTTTCTTTCTTTCTTTTTTTTTTTTACAACAAATAACTTCTTAGTATAAGTATGTCCCAAATATTGTATGGGTTATACTTATACTAAAAACCCATTCGTTATTTTCCTGAAATTCAAATTTAACTGGGCATCCTTTATTTTTATTTGCCAAATTTGGCTGCTAACACAGAGTCACTCGCAGCCTTCTCCACTCTTGTCCAGCATCAGCGGTTCTTAAATAGTCAGGATCAGAGAGCCCCGTGGAAATCTAATGAAGGCTACAGACACTCTCTCAGACATACACACACACACGCTCATATGCTTTACACACAATTTTGGAAGAGGTGTTTAACATGCCCCCCAGGACCATCTATGGGTCCCAAATAGAGTAACTTCTCTCCAAGAAATAGCTCCCTCCCCCCGACCTACCCCCATTTCCCCTCCTTACCCCCTCCTCATCCCCTCCCTCCTCTGGAGACCTGCCAGCTCAGAAGGACCCCCGGTGACTCTCCAGTCCAGCACTTGCTTCTTCAGGGCACGAAGCCCCTGAGTCCTAACCCCGAGCTCTCACTGAAGTGCTTCCCTGCCCATCAACTCACAAGGAGGCTTCCTGAGGTTCTGGGGGCTTGGCAGGGTGCCGGTAGCTCTCCGGTAGCTTAGTCGCCTGTGGGGACACAAGGAGACAGGCAGGCTCATGAGCTTGGGGATAAAACCAGTCAGAAAGAACTTTCTGGAAAACTCAGGGAAACCAAGGCCTGGATTGCACAAATGGGTACAGTCTGGCATTCCAAGGGCCTCCCTCCTTCACAGTAAGTTTCCATGAGGAGAGTTACTTTCACAGAAGCTCACAGGGAGGAAGAAACCAAGTCTCTTGCTCTAGGAGAAAGAAGCTCATCCAGCCCAAGACGGTCACACACAGGTATATGGCCTCTGCCATGTTGGCGATTGGTCTTTATTTTCCTAGGACTGGTTCTCAAGGAAGGGAGGCCTCTTCTTCACACTTGACCTGGCCTCCCCATCTCCAAGGAAGCAGGAAGATAGCACAGCATCTCCCAGAAGAGAGCGAGGGCCAAAGTGATGCTAATTTAGCACCCTTCTCCCCCACATCGGAGAGCTCAGCCTGGCACATATCCAATTTGGCCATCAGTGTGGAGAAGCAGGTACCATGGCCTCATCTCAGATCTGAGAAAACACTCAGGGCTCTTAGAGGTATCTGGAGTTCCACATTTAAATGCAGCTACAGAGCTTTCCCCCAAGACCCGTGAAGCTCAAGATGCATGTGGGTCCGAGGTTCCTGAGGAAATAGGGCAAGGGTTTTCAGACTTTGGCACCTCGGAATCATCTGGAATATCTATTGGAACACAGAGCCCAGGGTCTTCCCCTGGAATTTCTGACTCAGCAGGTCTGGGGCAGGGCCCAAGGGTTTGCATTTCAAACAAGTTCCCAGGGCATGCTGCCTTGCCTGGCCTGGGGACTGCGTCCAGAGGGCCACTGAAACAGACCAAGCCCTGAAGTCTGTCTCTACTGAGTTCCACAACCCAAAAGATGGAAGAAAGCTACAAACCTCAGGGGAGGTAATACAGTCATAACTGCCACACCCTGAGCCAGCACTTAGACTTTTAGAAATCTATCCTAAGGAAATAATGTGAAATATGAGGAACAGTCTAACGTGCAAGGTGGTTATTACATTGTACCAGTGGAACAGCGCAAACAACTTAAAAGTACAGCCACAGGGAAGGAGTGAAGTCACTTGGGTATGACCTTCCTCAAAGATGCCTCCGTGCACACCCGGATAAGGGGCAACCCTCCTATGGTACGACTTCACAGAGCACGGTGTCCTCCTCCCCAGCGCCCATCACATTTATAGAAAGCATTGGCCTAGGGGCACCTGGGTGGCTCAGTCAGTTGAACACCTGCCTTTGGCTCAGGCCATGATCCCAGGGTCCTGGGATCCAGCTCCACATTGGGTTCCCTGCTTCTCCCTCTCCCTCTGCTCCTCCCCCCCACTTGTGCTCACTCAGTCTCTTGCAAAGAAGTAAATAAAATCTTTTCTTAAAAATTGAAAAAAGAAAAGAAAGTGTTCATCTGAACCACGTGTGACTTTCCTGCTACACTGTCAGCTCTGGGGATAGAGGGGGGCAGAAAGCATACTTGCTGGCCAGGAGTGAATGGTCTGTTTTCTGATAAAATATTACCTAGCTATTAAAAAACCACACAGTAAAGACTAGGTAATAATGTGAGAAATGTTAAGTCACGATGTTAGGTGATACCCGCACAAGAAGCATGACTTCCGATCTATGTGTACGACTCCCATAAAGGCACAGGAAGGACATAAATCATACTGCCTCAATAGTGGTGAGACTTGGCGAATTTGCTTTCCCTCGTCTTCCTCTTCTGTATTTTGATTTTTCAGCTTTCATTAAGTACGTATTATAAAACATATACTCACTTAGTGACACAGAATTCCATACATTTATTTTGCTCTCAAACCGCTATCGCTGCTGGTTAGAGCACAAGAAGACCCAACACCAGAGTGACTGGTACCTTCTGAACAACACCCCTCCCCCCACCCCGCATGCCATTCCAGCTGTGGCAGCAGAGATCTGGGGCTCTGTCGTGTTCCCATGCCTCTAGCCACTGTAAAACCACCCCCTTACCACACATCCCAGACCCACCTTTCCTGGAACTGCTTGGAGGGGATGAGGCCAGCTCGGAGGTTGGTGTCACCTACTCGTTTGGCTTGCCACCATGTGGGATCGTCCTGGCTCACCACCTCCAGGACCTGCCTGCGCTGGAAGGGCAGGCCTGCCTCCTGGCAGGGGATGGCCCGGTCCTCCCGCGGGTTGTAGTGGAAGAGGGCACGCATGAACACCTGGAGAGGGTGTGAGCACAAACGTGTCTCTGCCGCATCGAAGGCCAGATGACAACTATCAATCACAGTCAGGGCAGGGCAGCAGCCTCGAGAACACAGAGAGCTAATGAGAAATATAGGGCAGGGGATCCCTGGGTGGCTCAGTGGTTTGGGGCCTGCCTTTGGCCCAGGGCGCGATCCTGGAGTCCTGGGATCAGGTCCCGCGTCGGGCTCCTGGCATGGAGCCTGTTTCTCCCTCTGCCTGTGTCTCTGCCTCTCTCATTCTCTCTCTCTCTATGTCTATCATGAATAAATAAATAAATAAATCTTTTTTTTAAAAAAAAGGAAAGAAAGAGATACAGGACACATGTTTTCCTCTTGTTCTTTAGCCATTTTGAAACTACAGTCAGGAAATCCATCAAGGTTCAGAAAATGAAGAGATGGGCCTTATATCTGAATTTCTCTTTCTGGCCTCAGTGTTTCCTTATTTACCCAATCTGCTGTCCTCCTAACAGCCTCTCAGCATGCACAAAGCAATGACTCGTCCTGAGAGCAAAATGTAAATGAATGAACAATTTTCGCTAAAATGTTATTTTTGATGTGCTAACTGTCCCTAATGAGGTCAGCAACCATCTGTGAAATAAGCAATCTAGGCATTTTGATTAGGACACAAATACCAACAGAACTACCATTACTGGCTTCTCACCATCACTTTTCAGTGGGTGATTGACGTCCACATTTTTTTTTTTACAGCTCACCCTGCCTCATCTGCCATATACTCAAACAACCCCCAACTCTCCCCTTTACCTTGATGTCACCCCTCTAGAGAAGATGGTGGGAAGACACAGAATTTTGTCACACTTCCTTGTTCTACAACTCAGTGGATGGATTTATTTTGTTTATTTCTATTACCAGGCCATTAGAGGTCAATTACTTTAACAACAGAAAGAAAGAAAAAGAAAGCCAGAGGGCTTTCTTAGATTCAAGTCACATCCTTTTAGGTATCAACCAGAAAAGACAGTTAGACAATAGTAAGAACTTCCTGGCCAGATATTGTGAGGACAGATGCCCTCTTCAAGCCACAGATGTTATCAGGGTCTCAGGCACTGGGAAGAGAATAAAATCTTAAATGGCCAGCCCAGGTCAAGCTTCCGGATTCAGAAGAAATATTTAGGAAGGATGGGCTAAGGGAGACGTTACCCATCTTATCCAGGAAAACCAAGTTTTCTCCCTGTATCAACTTAGAACCTGCAAAAGCTGCTTATGGAGATCTCATTAGCCCATCTAAGAATGAACCACCTTCCATCAGATAAGAGTCTGTGTTATGTAAGCTCTGGGATTCAATCAAAGTGTGCAAATAAGAAACAGTCACATAAAGACTACGTCTTCATTTGCTATAAAAGTCTGACATTAAAGACAATGTCCATTATTGATTCCCATTCGCCAAAATACTTATCAACATCCACTCTGAGCCAAGTGCTGGACTGTTCCTTCTCTTGTGCATTTAGTGCCGGGAGGCAAAGGCTGGGAATCACCTTTCTTGAAAAATTGGCATGCTTCCCTCCTCTTCCTGATGAAAAGTATGCCATGCCTTTCCTCTCCTTTCTGCCTTGGCTGTCAGGAAGTTCAGATCCAAATTTATTTGAAATCAAAGCAATGCCCTCTCTCATCTTCCTTCCCACCACCTCAGCTTGGGTGAGAATAACCCCTCACCAAGGCTTTTACAACAGCCTTCCCGCCAGGTCTCCCCACCTCCAGTCTCTACCCACTCTACCCTCCCCCACGTGGCTTCCCGGGAGCTCCCACATCCCTCGGGGCCTTACCACTTCAGTGCACCCAGCCAGACTGTCAGCAGCCAGCCCTGGCGTCTCTTTGTCCAAGGCCTTTCTCTGGCCACTGGCCACTGCTCCACTAACCCACTCTATAGGGATTGCTGGGAATTAATCCCCGGATGCAGCTTGGCAAGACTTGGGGTGGACAGATCTCCCAGCTCCGCCGGCTCTTGGGTGAAAAGATGGAGGCATGTGTCTCTGCAGGGTCCCTAAGTTCTCCAGCAGGATTACACAGTGGTAACTCACCGGACTGCACCGACTGCCTTCTCATCCCCACTCCCATACAGGTGTTTCCCTGGGTCATTTCCTTATTCATTCATTCATTCATTCATTCATTCATGAGAGACACACAGAGAGAGGCAGAGACATAGGCAGAGGGAGAAGCAGGCTCCTCACAGGGAGCCCAAAATGGGACTCAGTCCAGGATCCCAGGATCCCACCCTGAGCCAAAGGCAGACACTCAACCACTGAGCCACCCAGGCGTCCCTCCCTGGGTCATTTCCAAATGAACTACTTACACTCTAATCTTTGTCTCAGGTTCAGCCTCTGAGACCCCAAACCAGGCCAGGATTATGCCAACATCCTTAATGGTGCATTCAAGGCCGTTCAGAAGATAGCCTTAGCCTACCTTGCAGCACAACCCCTCTAACACCTGACCACAGTGCTCTCTCTCACCGACCCCCCCAGACGTACTCCTCTCTGCACCTTTGACTTCTATATATGCAGAGCCCTCTGCGTGAACTTCCTTCCACCTCTTCTTCACCAAGGAGTCCTACTCACCTTCACCTTTGTCAAGCCTCGCTTCCAACATCCCTCCTACACAACACTTTCCAGGGCGCCCATAACCCTGCTCAAAATCTTTCCGAACCACTAGCGCTAATCACATAGCAGTGAAACGCTTGCTCCCCAGCCTCCCTCTGAACTAGGAGTCCTCAAAGCTACCAACTGTCCCCATCTTCCACATCTGGCAGAGTGCCCAGCACAGAGGAGGTGCCCAAAAAAGGTAGGCTCACCAAAGAATGAAGCAAATGGCAGTTACTTAATTGGTCCCAAATCCAGCACATTTGGTACCTTCTCCTCTGCATGGCCCTGATTTTCTATTTCAATTAAAATAACCTTGTCTTTTATTAGTAAGCTACGTCAAATCCTGTTTAGAAAGGGGCAGGTACAAATAAATGAATCATGGCGTGACTGAATTACAGTTCTCTACTGAGCCCACATTCGGAGGACCAGACGTGGGATCTCCTCCCCCATGGCTGCTTCAAAGCCCTCCTTCACCTTCAACCCTGCCCTACCTTGCTGTCCTTTAACCGGTCTTCCTCTTGGGTGGCTGGGATGATCTTCAGGGTAATGGATCCCTGGGACTGCGCCTGAAAGGGGAGAGTTCGAAGCTTATGACCTCCCACACGTAACTCTTGATGCATTCAAGCCTTCCTGCCCTGATCTGGAAACTTGAGTTCAGAAGGAAGTCAGACTCCCCACCTCCTCTATGGCCCTGCCCTCTCACAGTGGCACCCATGAATTAACTAAAGCAAAACCCAAAAGCAAGTTCTGCATTTTCATGGGACAAAGGGACACAGAACTTCAAATGTGCACCAAGGACAGCGCATACATGGAAATCCACCCTTCCGTCCCTCCTGACCCTCTAATGCCCCCAATGGCCACCCTCCTTTCTCTTCTCTCAGGTTGTTTCAATAACGGAGTTCACTTTCATTTCCCTCTCTCCGCTTCCATCTTCCCTGGTGGGCTCTCCAACCTTAGGCCACTCTTACCTTACCAGGGCTTCCCCTCCTTCCACCCAACACAGTCCCTGCACCCCCATGTGGGCCCCCCCTCCCCAGGCAGAATGCCATCAGCCCGGGAGAGCACCTCTCGCCCCACAGTCTCCCTGGCTCATCGCTCCCCTAGAGCACGAGGAGGCCAGGGCTCAGGACCAGGGAAAGGCCCGCAGAGGCAGGAAGATGAAAGAAACCTGCCTGCAACCAAGGCTCCCTACAGTGGGGCCTCCGGTCTTCAGATCGGCCCATTTCTGCCCCCATCTCAAACTATAGGAAGTTAGCAAAGAGTGTTATATGCAGGGGGGTGGGGGGTTGCTGAGGATAAAGAAGACAAAACCGTGACTGAGTTTTTTTTACACTGCAGCTTGACTTGTCCTACCCAAAAGAGCTTTGGTGGTTGCATCCCAGCACTGAACACCCTAGAACTCCCTTACAGGTGTGAAGTGCTGTATCCTGTCCCGGATGTTTATATCCTGATCATAACCATGCACTGGATGAGAAACCATCCCTGTTCCTTCTTCACAGGAAAGGAAAGTGACACCCAGGGTGACCTAATGACTCACCTGAGGCTGTACAACTAGAGAGTAGTGGAGGTAGGATTTGAACCCAGGGCCTGCTGATCCCAAAGCCCCTGCTCTTGGGCCTCCCTGTACTGCAGCTTCTTATTCTATATTCCTCAGGCCTTTAGAAGAGGGGATGTCCCAGAAGGGTCCTCAGGAAAGGGACTGGGGCTATGCTGAAGAGATCTGAGGGGCAGATGGCCTAGAAGTGTCACTCTTCCTGTCTCCGGTCCTGACACTGGGCATGCTGCAAGGTCACCCTGCCTGCAGCCTCCTCAGGAAAACAGAGACTGAGCCAGAATTTTCCCTGGTTCCTGCAGGTGCCCTGCTTTGGTCTCCAAAGACCCACACCCCAGCATCCCACACCCCACCATCCCACCCCCCGCCAGCACCCAGGCAGCACGGACCAGTATCTGGCTGATTTCGTCTGGGCGCTTATGCAGGACCGCGATCCCATTCACTTCTCGGAGCTCATCTCCAACGTGGACCAGACCTAGGAGACACAGGGGCTACCCATCAGCACAGGAAGGGGCCTCAGCGCCAGGGCACCACTGGCGCCCACAGGAGGAACCCACCAGCCACACTTATGACAGACTCAAGGCAGAAAAGGCACAGGTGGGCTCGGGGCCGACTGACTCCTACTGCGTGCAGGGTGCCTCACTCAGCATCGCCACCTCAAAACCACCCAGTGAAATCCCCAGTTTACAAGTAGGCAGCTGAGACCCCAGAAAAATTGTGTGGCTTCCCCACGCCACTCTGCTAAGAAATAATGGAGCCTGTGTTCAAACACACTTATTTTGACATAGAAAACCTGGTTCCTTCGGTTATAACCTCTGCTTCTTTACAAATATCATTCACTCTTCACCTTCCTGGTCCTGGGCTAACAGACATACTCTAAGGCTGTCCTTCTCCAATCTTAACAAGAAAACTTAAAGGCACGAAGAAAGATGTCATCAAGAATATTAATTAAATACACCTGTCCACTGGCCTCTGCTTTCAAGACAAGCATCTCTGCACATTGAGCCGTAGTTGCTAGCCAAAGTGATACCCAGCAGCAGCAGCAGCAGCAGCAGCAGCCAGAAGGCAGTCAGGTGTCCAGGATCTTGCCCCCACCCCCACTCACCCCTAGACCTGCTGAATCAGCATCTGCATTTTAACAAGATGCTCAGGGTTCTTGATGCTTGTTACTGTTTGAGAAGCACTGGTCTCCACAATAGTGATCCCCAGACTTCTGGGGTAACACCTCTCTATACCAGAAGGTTTGCCTCCCAACTGAGTAGTTTTTTCACACAACACTGATTCTCAACCTGTTTTCCACCCAAACAAATCTGGGCCGTGAACATCCTTCCCTCCGTAATAGGGACAACAGGGGTGGTGGGGAAGGGCATCCCTGCTCTGCAGTTAGGAAACCCCGCCAAGCCCCTGCTGTTGGCTTAACGACCATAGCCCTGGGCGAGGCCAGTGCTAGAGCCCTTCTAATCAGCCCCAAAGTTCTCTGTGCCTGAAATTTCTACCAGGTTTGAGAAGAAGAAAATTCTCACCCCATTCCCAGAAGGCAAAACATATTCCAAACAGGGAATCAGAGAGAAGGAAAGGAGACTTGTGGCCAAAGCAAAGGGAAGGCTGGGGCACACTGGCCATCACCTGCACCAGGCCAGCACTGACGCCACTCACCACTCCGGTCAGCTGCGCCCCCTCGCATGATTCGGGCCACTACCACAGCCCCTGAGTGCTCATCCCGCCGGATGGTGGCACCCTGCATTGGAGACAGAGCAGGTAGGTTTCTAAGAAGCAGCCCCAAAACCTCAGGCCCCAACTCTCTGGACCCAATAGAGCCTCCCTATCTCTCCGTCTGTCACCCTAGACAGCAGATCAATGGGGCCCTTCCCAGAGCTGAGGACGCAGTGAAACCAGCATCTCACGTTAACACAGCACAGCAATTCCCACCTTACAAAGTACAATGACACTGTGACAATCTTGTTTCAGAGACGAAGGACAAGGGCTCAAAGAAGGTCAGCAGCCCCGAGGTCACCCAGCTGGGAAAGAGTAAAGGATTGTGGGAGGCTGAGTCCAGTGTTTGTCTCGCATATCACAGCCCTCGCCTTGTGCAAAGATGTTTAATAATGAGGAGAGGACGTGCCTGCAAATTCTCAACCTTTAACCAATCACGGGAGACCGGGCATTCTGTGGCTGCCGAGGGGAACAAATTATGTATGAGCCAGAGCTTCGGGACCAGGCCGCGGTCCAAGGAGCATGGCACAGATGATGTCTAGGACAAGGGATGCTAACAAGCCCTCAATTTTGTGCACCCCGCAGGCGGAACTGTGGCAGGCAGGGCAGCAGTCAGGTGAAGCGCTGAGCTCTGATGTTGGATGACCTTGGGTTTGAATCTACCTGTCATTTACTGAAAGCCTGAAGCCTTAGCAAGGAAGCCCCTCATCTTCTCTATTTCCTCTGGGGTGGGGGACAGCACTGAACTCCCGGGGCTGGTGCAAGCATTCTATCAGGTAATGCAGGCAAGCCTCAATCATGGGGCACACAGTAAGGACATGCAGTAAACGCTCAATAAATGTTAACCTTTTATGATTGGTTGTTACTGCAAACGTATCAGCACACTTGTTATTAACTTCATTCAGGCCACCTATTTGAAGTCCGTAGGACTAATACTGCTGCAAAAAGAAATCATCAACCAAGAGCCCCACAGCATCTTTCCCCCTAGACCTACAACTTTCCGGCATCTCTGTCCATCCTGTGCTCCCTTTCCTGCTCTCAGCAGAGGGGCTCTTCCCATCTAGGTCCTCCTGTCCTCTCCTTCCCCCTCTGGCAGTCTCAATGCCCCCTCTCTGCTGGTTCCTTTTCCTGACTCCAAGAATATTATCACGTCCCCCTCATGAGTAAAGAGCCTCCCCTCCCCGCATCCAGCAGCCACCAGTCTCTGCTCCTTCTGAGCAAGCACCTGCTCTCTCTGCTTCCTGCCCTACCAGTCACTGCCACCTGCAACCTCAAGAACACCAGCCACCAGCTGCCGGCTCCCACCCAGCCTCAGCCTTCTTGCCTCTACCTCCTGCCTGTCTGCCTCTTGCCAGCTCTCACTTTAGGATCCTCTCTTGGCCTAGGACCTGCTGACGGCCCTCTCTCCTGGGTCTTCCCAGAGACGATGTGTCTCCATGGCCAGGTCCTCCTCTATCTTCCTTTCAAATCCTGATTCAAGGGCCAGGATTTGGCCCTACTCCCCTTCTTGCCTTACTGTCTGCTCTACCCATGTGGTCTTGACTTCTCAGGTATGATTTTAACCCCTCCCAGATGCTGGCAGCAGCCAGTCTGTATCTCTGAAAAAATAATCCTTCCATTTCCTGGATGTCTCCACTTATGAATTCGATAGGACGTGAGCTCCTCCTTATCCCCTCCCTTGAATGATGGCTGCAGTGCCCACCTAGTCGTCCCAGCCGGACACCTGGGCCCTATCCTAGGCATCCCCCCAGACTCCTGCCCAATCCAGGGCAGTCACAAAGTGACATTAATTTTTTTCTGAACTACTTCTTGGATTTCTCTCCCCTATTCCCACAGGCCTAAGTCAAGCTCTCTTTCTGGACATCCACCTGTCTGGTCCCCTACCTTCAAATCTGTCCTCTGCTTCTGGCCTTACCCTCCAAGCCACTTTCTGTTCAGCAGCTAGGGCGATCTTTCTAAACTTCAAACCTGATCATGTTATTTCTTTTTTTTTTTTAAGATTTTATTTATTTATTCATGAGAGACAGTGAGAGAGAGGCAGAGACACACACAGGCAGAGGGAGAAGCAGGCTCCATGCAGCCTGATGTGGGACTCGATCTCAGGTCTCCAGGATTATGCCCTGGGCTGAAGGCAGTGCCAAACCGCTATGCCACCGGGGCTACCCTGATCATGTTATTTCTTACTTAAAACCTTACAATGGGGGTACCTGGGTGACTCAGTCGGTTAAGCATTCATCCAACTCCTGGTTTCAGCTCAGGTCATAATCTCATGGGTCCTGGGCTTGAGCCTCCCATCGGGCTCTGCATTCAATGGAAAGTCTGTTTGAAATTCTCTATCTCCTCCCTCTGCCTTTTCCCTCATGTTCTCTCTCTCTTTATAAAATAAATAAACAAGCTCTTTTAAAAAAAAATACCTTACAATGGCCCCCCACTGACTTTAGGAACAAACTATGACACTCTGCATGGGCTATGGTCCAGCCCCACCTCTGTCACTCCTAACCACAAACTTGGCATTCTCATCCACACCAGGAAGCCCAGAGCTCCCCGAATTTGATAGAGTAGGCAGTTAGCTAGATATGAGCAGCAAATAAGTGCTTTCCGACTGATAAAAGAGTTGAGGCCAAGTTCCAAATGGGCAGGACAAACCCCAGGGGATGTACCTGTATTCTTCCCCATGACCACTGCCTTACAGTAACCTATAGCTTTATAGCTTCATTATGATACATATACATTGTGGTTTTAACCCCTTTCCCCATCCTTCCTCCTCCCATCCCCAGAATGGTTGCCATGACGGTCAGACAAGGACCATATGGGGCCCACAACTCCTGCTCCCAGTCAACAGAAGTCCCTTGGATGATCAGCTGCAACGTCAGTCAGCAACCACCCTAGCTATGACCCATAACCTATCCCAAATATAAAAAGGAAAAAACAACCGTGACCTCCCAGGGCAGCTGCCATCTCTGGGACTGCCCACCCTTCTGTCTCTAAAGTGTCTTTTCACTTAAACTGCTATTAAAACTTTGCCTGTTCTAGAGTCTGGTTCTGAATTCTTTCTTGGCTGAACTTAAGAACCAAGGCAGGGGAACGGGACTCTCTGTGAACAAATACACCACATTGGTTCCCTTACCATGATTTTGCTCAGGTAGTTCTACTGTGTGGGGTACCCTTCCTCTCTCTTTTCCTTCTGGAAAACTTGTTCCTTTTCTTGGAATTCAGCCTGGGCATCATCTCTTCCAGGAAACCCCTGCCACTCTCCTGTGACCTCCCAGAGGGCAAGGATTAAGTCTTAATCACCTCTGATCTGCCAGTGCCCAGCACAGTGCCTGGCACACAGACATCTGCCGAGGCAATGAATCTCTGCTCCATTTTTCGGGGTGGGGGGGAGCAGAGGGAGAAGAGAGAGCCTCTTCCATCTGCAGAAGTGGTTTAGCTGAGGGCACTTGGTGAAAGAACGCCAGCTGTGGCATTCTCTGGGGCAAATGCTCAACTCTCTGGACTTCCTCCACTTCCTCCATCTAATAAACAATCTTGTCCCTTTGCTTGGTAAATCAATGCTGCACTAGGACCAAAATGATAACAATCTGTCAGCTGGGGAGAAGAAAGGCTGCTGCCCCATGCTTCCGCAGGATTCAGAGCAGGATTTGGCACACTCTTCTGTAAAGGGCCAAATGTAAATATTTTAGGCTTTGAAGGCCACACTGTCTCCGTGGTAACTACTCCACACTGCCATTGCAATGCAGAAGCAGCCACAGACAATACATAAATGAACAGGCATGGCCATGTGCCGGTAAAACTTTATTTACAAAAGCCGACAGTCAGCTGGGTTTGGCCCTTGGACCACTGTCTGCCAATCTCTGATTCGGAACATGATGATCAGGGCTGCCCTGTACAGCTGCACAGGTTGTTTATTGCACAAAGGAGCTTGGCCACAGTCAAGTGAGGCTTGTATACACCCAGGGAAAGAAGTACCCTGCACACAAAGGTGCCACGGGGACCATGGCAGCCCTGACAAAGCTGCCATCACTCACTCTGAGGACTTCAGGAGGGCTCTGTTCCCAGTTTTCTGGGTGGGTGGGAGAGTGGTACAAGGAGGGGCTGGGGAAAGAGAGGTGGGTCACATACCAGGGGTTCCTTGTTCTTCACCAGGCGGACTATCTTCACTGATTCCTCATCAAAATCCTCATCAATGTTATCAGGCAGAGGGGGAAGAACAGGGTCAAAATTCTTTTGGGCCACTGTATCGTGTACCATGAGCATGGCCTGTCAGGAAAGCAAGAGAAATGAAGCTCACAGGGATCGTGGGGGGACCTTGGCCGGGCAGTGATTTTGGGGGTCTTGGATCTCACGCCATAGAAGCCACCTCCCAGACACTGGCCCTTAGGACCCCTCACTCAGAAGTCTCCCTTCTTTAGCCGGGGAGGACACGAGCTGCATGGGCAAGCAGGGACTGCGGGACTACCCTGAGGTGGGGGGTGGACAGCAGCTGGAGCAGCTCCCTCTCGTCGCTGTGCACAGAAGCGGCCTGCAGCTCCTCCATCACCTGTGGACGAATGAGACAGAACACCACACATGGCTGTAGGTGCCGTGAGCCTGATGGGAGGGAGTGACCCGGGGAGAACCCTGACCCCTAAGCGCAGACCCAAGGGCCCTCACAGGAACTGTGACAGCGCCCAGGAGAGCATCAGAACCTCAGCCACCCCAGGACTGACGCTCTCAGGGAAGTCACGGCAGGGATCAGAAGAGCCTAAGTAGCTCAGTAAGGTCCTCCTACCAGGAGCCAACCTATTAAGCCCTTACTATGTGCCATCTGCTTTATGTGGACCTTTCCATCTAAATCTCACAGTGAACTTAACCTGGCAAGTACTGGTATTTTGCCATTTGGCAGACAAGGATTACACAAGAGATATTAAATATCTTCTGCCTAAGGTTGAAAAGTTAGGATTTGAGCCTGGGCTTATGTGGCTCTATTATCTGTTGCCCTCACCACTGTGCTATTCCACAGATGAAAAAACTGAGGCTCAGAGCAGTTGAATGACCTGTGGCAGGTTCCAGAGCTGGTAGGAAAGGCAGTGCTAAGGCCAGGAGCCTGACAGCCTAACATGCTCCTAATCACGTCATCGAATAGGGGAGAAAGGAGAGATGTGCACTCACAGGCTGCACCCTTGCCTCACCAGGCCATCTCTTGGCATTAGGGAAATTTATTCTGGAGCTGGCCTCAGCATTCAACTGGGACAGCTCTTCCCAAACCATGCAACACAGAGGCCAGGGCCACAAGAGATAGGAAGCATTCTTTTTAAAAATGAAAGCCCTGAGCCAGGAAGCAGGGACATGCTGCAAGTCACCTGACCCCAGGACTTCACATGGGGCCTCCCCAAAGCATGGTACAAGGTGATTGTTTGACCTTCATATCACCAGGCCTCAAGAGTTTGGGAACTGCTGATCTGATCCAAATGCTCTCATTTCACAGCAGGGGGAACAGACTTTCTCGGGAACACACAGTAAGCAGGCGTCATCATGTCCCTGTGTCCCTTGGCCCAGTGCAAGGCTCATAAGTTTCTTCCTGCCCATTAAGGGGCCCAAGGAAGAGCCAGAGAAGGGAAGGAGATGTCTCTTCACCTTTGGACTCAGAGCCCCTATGTCCCTGAGGCTAAGCGATGGTGACAGGCAAGATGAAGGAGCCCTATGGAGTAGGGACTGGGGCTAACACCATAAGAAAAAAATCAAGGGCTTACATCCTCAGCAAGAGCCATAGCGCTGTGTAGAACAGGAGTTGGACTTTGCCTCTCGTAATAGCGAAGCTTCTCGTGAATCTGCAAAGACAGCCAATTTCAGACCAGGGCCTCTCAAGTCAGCTGCCCAGGGGTACCCTGGAGACCTCACAGCCCGCTCTTGACTGTGGGATGGGTGTAGAGTGGGTCGCCGATGGGTCAGCGGAAAGGATAGCCATTCATAGCGGGCTAACGAAGACTGGTCCCAGGGCAGCGAATGGTTAAGATGAACTTCACAGGCCTCAGCCAGGTAGGAAAACCTCTAGAATCCCTCAGCAGATGGGATGAAATGAGGCTTTACCTTCATTAAATAACTGAGGCTTTTCTCACTGAAAACATCCCTCAGGAAGCCCATTTCTTCCTTGTGGTTGGAGTCAGGTCTCAGCTGAGAAGTCAACAGTGCCAGGGTTTCATGCAAACCTGAGGAGAGTGTACGAACCACGAAGTATAGCCAGTGCAATGGGTACTTCCCGCCCCGTGGAACCCCGAGTGGACTCGGCCATGTGGACAGTCTCTCCCCAGGCTCTCATTCCCAGGGCTTGCGGGCAGGGCAGCTCCTGCAAGCCAATGCTGGCAGGGACCTGCTTTCTCTCCAGCCTGGGGCTGCTGGGCAGGCTCCCTCTTCAGCACTCTGGGCACACCCAGCCCAGGACAGGCACTCACCGGAGTCCTCGGACAGCACGGGCATGTCTGTGCTGGTCAGCTCCAGGGCTCTGCCTGCGGATTCTGGGAGAAGGAGGGTAAGCGGTGTAGCAGCTCCATGGAGTATATTCATTCAACAAACACTGCTTGCACACCTGCTGGTCCGTGGCCAATTTGGGGACAGAGGACATGGGAACAAATAAGTCTCTGCTCATTTTGTTTTTCAGAGAGCAAAGAAAGAAAACTAAGATTTGCTAGTAGCCTGGATGTGCCAAGCATTACGCCAGGTGGTTTCATATGACACTTTTCTTAATGTGCACAAAGCCCTGAAGCATGGATGCTAATATCCCCATTTTACTGATGAAGAAGCAGAGGCTGGGAGGAGTTAGCGGCTTGCAGGTCAGAATCCACACTCTGGTGGCCTTTCCAGGCTGGTCTCAAAGGTACGAAGTGGCCCCTGCCTGACGGAGGGTGCTCGCTCTCCTGCAGCGTCCCCCGCGCCCTGTCACCTTCTAAGAGGCTCTACTCAAATCTCTTGTCCTTCACAAGCACCTGTCTGGGCTTCCAAGCTCCCTCCTTCCCCACCTCCCCCGCATCCCAAACTGAAGGGAGCATCCCCCAGAACCGAGTGTAGAGAGGAGGTGGGGAAACGAGAGAGAGTCGGGTCTCTGCTATGTAGGACTGGACAGCCCTGGCTCGGGAGGCCCCCCCCCCAACGTGCTCTGCAGCACGTGGACCTCAAAAAGTCCTCCTTCGTTAGGGGACAAGGAGAGTAATGATTCATTCGTTCCGCAAACATGGAGCCAGCCCCACTGCGCGGAGCACCGGTGACACCAAGACGCAGAAGAATGGTCCTGGGCTCTCCCGCCGCCGCGCCGGCCTCCGCCAGACTCACCCCGTGCTCCTCCCGGCTGTGCCCCTACCCCGAGGCGGCCGGGCGCACAGGCTCCAGCTCGCTCCGGAAGGAACCTGTGGGACGAACAAGGAGCGCGGCTGGCCCAAGGGGAGGCGAACCCCGGGGGCCGCTGGCGGGCGGTCGCGAGGACGCCGAGCGGCGGGAAAGGAGCGGGTCGCACGGCGCGGGGTGCTGAGCGCCGGGAGGAAGGCCCGGGGCCGAGGGGCGGGGACTCGGCGCCCCCTCCCCCCGGCGGGGGCCCGAGGTGGGCGGGGGGGCCGCGGGCAGCCGCGAGCACGAGGGGCGGGGCCCGGCGCCTCCTCCCCGCCCCCGCCGCGCCCCTCCCGCCGCAGCCCCGCTCCCCCGCCGCCGCCCCGCGGGGGTTCCTACCTGGCCGCGCCGGGATCTCCGCTCCACCACCCGGAGCCGCGCGGGTGCCCGGAGCCTCGGCCGCCGCTGGCTCCGCCTCCCCGGCCCCTCCCTGCCGCGGCCGCGCCGGGCGGGGGTGGCGGAGCGGGAGCGGGCGGGGCGCGGGAGGAGGCGGGGGAAGGGGCGCGGGAGGAGGCGGGGCAGGAGCGCGGGGAGCGCGGGCGGCCGGCCCCGCCAGTTCTCTGCGGACCGGGCTCGGCTCTCGGGCCTCCTAGGCTGGGCCCCCGCCCCGCCGTCCGCCCCCCCGAGCGCCGAGGAGCCCCCGCCAGCGCCCTTGTACCCGGCCCACGCCAGCCTTCCCCTGCCCCGGCCGCCCGCACGGCCCCCCCGCGGCTGCGGGGCTGGGCGCCTGTTTCACGTACTCGGCCATACCGCAAACGTTCATGCGGTGCCTCCGAGCGCTCGGCGCTGTGCGGGGGGCTGGGGCTTCAGAGACGCCCGAGACAGCCAACCTGGATTTGAGAACTCGCGTGTCGGACGGGGACCAGTCAGAGGCGGGGGCAAGTGGCCGTAACAATGCAGCGTGCAGGGAAAGATGGATCGGCGCCGTGCCCCGGGGCGCGGAAAGGGAGGGAGGAGAAGTCGAGCTGGGGAGACCGCGAGGCTCGGTCCCGTCCGGGTGTAGGGGGGTGGGGTTGAGGGAGGGGTGGGGGACGGGGAGGAGGGAAGGCAGCCTGTACGCTGGGGCTTCTCCTGGGCGACGGGCTCTGTGAAATGGCCGTGAAGATCACTGACTTTTATTGTGCTGTCTTTATGCCCGGGTACTCCTCAGATCACTTTGCATCGCATTAGCAACTGAGATCGACACCGTTATTATCTAGGCTCCGTAATTGAGGAAACTAAGGTTCAGGGGTGGAAGATGTGTATGGGAGAGAGGGCAGAAGAAACTGCTGGGTGAGTGAGCAGGTGGCTATGGGGTTTAGCGAATGAGTTCCCTCCCCGGTCTCCCAGCAGCAAAGAAGGCGCAGCAGCACTTGTCGGGAGAGGTGGACCTGAGATTGTGTCTGGGAGTAAGTCTAGCATATTAAGAAGAGGAAATGAGTTCCCAGGACCCCGCAGCCTGCAGTACATGGGGAGGCTGTCAGTGGTGGAGTGTGTCATGATGACATTTCCCCTCTCTCATCAAAAATGATCTACACCAGTGCTTCTCAAAATGTAATGCGCCTGGGAATCATCTGGAGGTTGCCTAGGCTGGAGCGTTGCTGGATTCTGCATTTCTAATAAGCTTCCAGGTGATGTGATGCTCCTTGTCTTGGCGACTCCCTTTCAGTACAGAAAGACTGCATGAGACACATTTTTACCTGGGAGCTTAGTGTTGGAGGGATGCCATCTGATAGTCAAATGATTTTTGATGAGCTCACCGACAAATGATGCCGGAATAGCTGGGTATTCATGTGTATGGGAGGAGGCGGCTGCAATCCCTACCTCACACCACATACAAAGTATGGTCCCTCAAGTTAAGAGGGACCATAGTCCTAAACATAAACCTAATTTTTAAAACATTTTTAAAGATTTTATTTATTTATTCATGAGAGACACACAGGGAGAGAGGCAGAGACATAGAGGGAGAAGCAGGCTCCTCACAGGGAGCCTGATGTGGGACTCGATCCCAGGACACCAGGATCATGCCCTGAGCCGAAGGCAGACGCTCAACTGCTGACCCACCCAAGCATCCCAAACATAAACTTAATTGATAGAAGAAAACATAGGAGAATATCTTCTCAATCTTTTGGTACACAAAGATTTCTTAGGACATAAAAGGTAGAGACCCTTAAAAAATCGGTAAATGTATCTCATCTGAATTTAAAACTTTTTTTAAGATTTTATTTATTTATTCATGAGAGACAGAGAGAAGCAGAGACAGGCAGAGGGAGAAGCAGGCTCCATGCAGGGAGCCCAATGTGGGACACCATCCTGGGACTCCAGGATCACTCCCTGGGCCCAAGGCAGGCGCTAAACTGCTGGGCCACACAGGGATCCCCTGAATTTAAAGCTTCTATTTATCAAAAAACACTATCAAGAAAATAGGCAAGCCATAGGCTGAGCAGAAATATTCATAGCATATCTATCTGACAAAGGACCCATATCTGGAATAAAGAGCTCCTGTAACTCAATGATAAAAAAAAACAAACAAACAATACAGCTAAAAAAAAAAAGGCAAAAGACGTGAACACCGACTTCACAAAAGAAAATATAAAAATACCCAATAAGCATAAGAGAAAATGCTCTTCCTTTATCATTTGTCATCAGGAAATGTAAATTACAGCCACCAGCAGGTGTCATTCCACATGTACTAGAGGGTGAAAGCGAAGAGTATTCCAGACACCTAAGGTGGCAAGGATGAGGAACAACTGGAGTTTTCCCAATGCCATGTGAATATAACATGGTACCAACACTTTGGAAAACCGTTTGGCAGCTTCTTTGAAAAACTAAACATACATCTATTGTGTGATCCATCAATTCCATCCCTTGGTATTCATCTGAGTGAAATAAAACCATCTGGCCACAACAGCTGTACAAGAATATCCCAATGCATGTTTATAATAAAAAATGGAGAACAATCCAGATGTCCTTCCACAAGTGAACTGATGAACTGTGGTATGTCCACAAGGTGGTATATTTGCTCATCATTAAAAAGAAACAAGCTACTATTCAAAGATTATCCCCACCACGCAACAATGTGGGTGAATGTCAAAATATATGAGGCTGAAAGAAAGCAGACAGAAAATACATACTGTATGATTCCTGGGATGTTGTGATTTTGTTGCTGTCACTGCACTCAGATGACTTGACTGGTCCAGAAACCCAGTTGATGATGATGATGATGATGATGATGATGATGCAAGTTACCTAAATTACCCCAGAAGACAGAGAACCATTAAATTAACAGACCTATTTCTTTCTTCCTTTTTTTTTTTTAAACAAACCTATTTCAAAAGAATAGAGTTGTTGGGGCCCGTGGCTGGCTCAGTCGGTAAAGCATGCGACTCTTTATTTCAGGGTCATGAGTTCAAGGCACACGTTGGATGTAGAGCCTAGTTAAAATTAAAAAAAAAAAATTTGAGTACAGTTGTCAAAAAATTGCTCCCTCACAAAGCACTGGATAGTTCAATCAAACACTTAAACAGGTACCTGTGCCTCTTCTAAAACATAGAAACAGAAAGAAATATTCAAAATTCTTTTTAGGAAGTAAACATAGCATTTTGCTGTTGAAGAAAGCAAAAACCAAAGAAACTCAACTTCACAAGCCTATCTCACTTATGAAAAAATCCCGAAAACTGTATGAGCAGATAATTTCACCAGAACGCAAAAAAAATTACCATGATCAAGTAGAGTATATTCTAAAAATGGCTTAGTGTTCAGAAACTAAATGGTTTACTCATTGGAAATCTATTAATGTAACTCCATGTAAAGTAATCTAGGAATAGAATAAAAAGTGAAAAATTAATATTAACTCCATAAATACACCCCTACATGATGTTTTTTAAATATCTTTCAAAAATGAAGGAGAAGGGATCCCTGGGTGGCGCAGCGGTTTGGCGCCTGCCTTTGGCCCAGGGCGCGATCCTGGAGACCCGGGATCGAATCCCACGTCGGGCTCCCGGTGCATGGAGCCTGCTTCTCCCTCTGCCTGTGTCTCTGCCTCTCTCTCTCTCTCTCTCTGTGACTATCATAAGTAAATAAAAAAAAATGAAGAACTGGATGCCTGGGTGGCTCAGTGGTTGAGCAACTGCCTTTGGCTCAGGGTGTGATCCTGGGGTCCAGGATTGAGTCCCACATTGGGCTCCCCACAGGGAACCTGCTTCTCCCCCTGCCTATGTCTCTGCCTTTCTCTGTGTCTCTCATGAATAAATAAAAATCTTAAAAAAAAATGAAAGAGAACAAAAGTTTAAACATAGTTACCACATGATCCAGCAACTCCACTCTTCAATATGTACCCAAGATATGAAAATGAAAACACAAAAACCTGGAGAAGAATAAAACATTCAAGCATTATTTGTGATAGCAAAAAAAGTGGGGGAAAAAATAATGTCTATCAATTGATAAATGGATAAATAAAACAAGGCATCATCATACAATGGAATAAAAAGAAATGAGGTCCTGATACGTGCCTCAAAATGTGATGCTAAGTGGAAGAAGTCATTCATAAAAGACCACATATTGTACGATTCCATTAATATGAAAAATCCAGAATAAGCAAATTTACAGAGACAGAGGTATGGTTCCTAGGCTGGGGAAATGGAGGTGAGGAGTGCATGCTAATGCGTACTAGCTTTCTCTTTAAGATGATGAAAGTGTTCTAAAATTAGATTATGGTGCTGGTTTTACAACCGTCTGTTGAATATACTAATCTCTGTGAATCTACTAAAAATGCTACTATTCAATTTCTGTATATCCTAAAAACCATTGACTTGTACACTTTTAATGGATGGATTTTATGGTATGTAAATTATATCTCAATAAGATTGTTTTTATAAAAAGTAAATGGACTAAATCCTCCAATGATAAGGGATCATCAAACTGGATTTTTTTTTAAAGATTTTATTTATTTATTCAT